TCTAAAGAATTGTTTTCAGATTTTTTAAAATACATTTACATATTCACTTTCTTGTGAGAGTTTGATCAAGGAAACAGCTTCTTTTTACTCTTCAGTTTTGAATAAACAGACCAAAAAAAAAAAAAAGCCTCGTGCTGATTTTTTCTAAGATAAGGGTCCATGGGGCGCACTGGAAGGGGCAAGCAAAAGGATTGCGAGCATAAAGACTAGTTAAAGAAAAAGATAGCTTGGCCTTTTACTTTCACTTTACTTTACGATCAGTGACCTTTCAAAGCTTGTAGGTGGATGTTGTTACCTGTAGACAAAACTGTGTTATTAGTTTCCTCCAAGGTCCAATCTTATTAGCTGTAAATAAAGCCCCTTTCAGACATGATATATGTTACACTGCCAGCTTTCTCAATCTGTCAAAGTGACGGCATTGTGTCATTCAGACATACGTTATTGTTCGTCGCAGCTTCATCATGTGAAAGTCACACAATGTGCACAACAATTGTCATACACACAAGATTGAACTGTACATCAAGTAACATCCATCCATTATCTATACACCACTTAATCCTCACCAGGATTGCAGGGGGGCTGGAGTCTATCCCAGCTGACTCAGGGTGAAGGCAGGGGACACCCTGGACAGGTAACCAGTCTATCACAGGGCTACACTTAGAGACAGACAACCAAGCACACTCACATTCACACCTATGGACAATTTAGAATCACCAATTAACCTCAACATGTTTTTGGACTTGTGGGAGGAAGCTGGAGAACCCGTGGAGAAATCAAGTAACATAATGCGCAAATGAAAAAATTCTATGTATCACGTCGTTTAGTAATGAATGTACTTCTGTTGTTCCATGTGCACAAGTATGGGAAACGCTCTTGCTTTGCAGTTGTTCAAATGGATCCTGCTGCTGTTTTATGCTGCAGGTATGTAATAAACTCAGCTGAAGTCTGTCATTTGTGTATGCTTCTTCATTAATCTGATGGTCTACAGTCCAGACTTAGGCCACATTAGAAGTTCTAACTTAGTAAAACTGCTGTCACAACCTTTTACGGAAAAGTGAGTATATGCTCAATCAGACATGGAGCTGACATGTTCAGATACCTTCAGAGTAACGGAAAGGAGTAATCAGATGTGTTTTGTCCAACCTCTGGGAAGAACAACAAATACATGTAGGTCCTGAAATGTCAATCTATCCCTTTAACTGACCCCTAAGACTAATATAAAGACTAATCATTTTGTGTGGGGACTTAAAAGATCAAGATTATTCTGATGTAAATACACTCCACAACTATGCTTGGTTGTAACTATCTGAACTGGGTCTGTGTTTTATCATGTCTTAAATGGTTGCATTTAATAAGCCACTGGGCCTGATTGCTAACAGGTTGGCCCTGCGGTCCCCTCTGCTTTGACTTCATTGTGTGGTGCTCAACAGAAACCCCAAGCAGACCTCATCCCAGCCATCACCAAGCTCGCAGCAACTCCGGTGGATCCATGCAGTTGCTGCTGGATTCACGGGATGTGAACAAGGAGTTCAAAATTAGTTTAATGACACATTCTGCACGTTATAGTACAGATAAATGCCACTCTCAGTTTTCTTTCAATCAGTCTCTGTTCTTTCTTTTTGTGATGGTTTGAGGAGGAGGGGAGGGGGTTACAGACCTATATTCTCCATCCAAGCCTGGAGGATGACCTCATGGGGCCTGCAGCTGCCATCACCATTCTCGCAGGAGTTAATAGGAACAGTATGTAGCCTCTGGAAAAGACTGCCTCCTTCTCTTTACTTTCTTTCTTTTTCTGTCCCCACCATTAGAATTTGAGGGAGCCAATACTCTGCCTTCATTATATATATATATATATATTTTGAGGGAGCCAATACTCTGCCTTCATTATATATATATATATATTTAAACTTTTCTCAGAAACCACTTTTTTTGATACTCCCCCCACATTTCCCCTTTCCCAAATCCTACAAAGAAGAACTGTGTAGCTATAGCTGAATCCTAAAGCAGCTATAATCCATATTCTCATAACAACTATGCCATTCAGTGACACGACCGCAGTTTAACTTTGCATCTCTTCAGCAGCTCATTGTTTTTATTCCTGGCCGACAGATTGGTTGGCAGCTTTGGTTTGTCTCTTTGCTGTCATTATGCTGTTTTTGGCTGAAGCAGACAGATGTCTTCAACAAAAAAGCTCTAAAATCCAAATGTCCACGACCTGTCCTGCACCAAATGGCAGACAGAAACTGTGAAGTGCTAGCTGGTCAATACGGTCAAGAAGCTGTGGAGAATTAAAAGAAAAAAACATAAGTAAGAAGAGTCAATGCATGATTTACATTTTGAATGCTCTCAATTGCCAGTCTTTACCTGATTTGGGGTTCTTGGCCACCTAATGGCAGCTGTTAGGGGTGTAATGTTCACTCAGTCTGAAGTGGCTATTTCTCCTCTGCAGAGTGTGATGTGCAGATTGGGATGTGTGGTTCCATGCACAGGCTTGTCTCTGCTCCTGAAGTGTGGCCCAGAACAATACCTACAAAATCACTGCATATCCTGATTGGAATGATACCAATCTATTGGATGCAATAAGGGACTCCAAGGATACAAGAACCTATTCAGCACTGACAGACCTCGACTGTGATTTACTGTGAACAGCATGCCAACTAGCCTCTCTCCTTATGGTTTCAAATTTCTCTGATAAGCTTGTTGTATTAGTATGGAGGGGTTCATTTATCTACCAGGGGACTGGTCCACACTTGAATACGGAAACTGATCTGCACACACACTTAGCACTGCCTTGTTTAGCAACATCAGCAGCAGGGGTGCTGTTTGACTTGGTTTTGAGTAAGCTCTAGTTGCAATGTTTCATTTTCTTTGTTTTTTTTTGTTTTTGTTTTTTTCATTGGATTAGAGTTGTACAATATCGAAAAGACCATTCATTCATTCATCCATTCATTCAGCAACAGTTAATGTTAAATTAATAGAAAACACTGTTTGCTATTATTATTTTTTTTTAGGAGTTTAACACTCTAAAACACAGCTAATGGGCTTCATCAGGACTGTGTTGCTGTAGTTAGATCAGATTTAATTGACTGTTTCCACATCAGATTCTCATTCAGATGTTGCTGACTCGTGACTAGCCTGTTGAATTCTGTGGCATCATCTCTTTCCAACAGAGCCCCTGCCACTTAAAATCAAATGAAAAGAAAAAATACAAACATTTTTCATGTGAAATAACCGAATGTGTTGTAATATTTTGTTCCAAAAGGAAAAGTACATTTTAACAGAAACAGAAACTCTCTGCATTTTATTTCTATACCCCTCTGGTTCAAAACTGATTATTTACAGATAAATGCAAAGTCTTCTGTACATAACGGTGTAGACACTGTTGATAATTTTGGGTGATATTCTTCACTGAGGTAACGGCCGCCATTTGAAGAAGCAGATTCCAGGATTTCACAAATGGAGGACAACTCTCGCTTCACTTGTTTCAGTCATAACACTGAATATCTGGAGCTATATACTGCTTATTCTTCTGCAGCTCCCCTCAGCTTCATTTATTGTCTTGAGTGACCGTGAAATCTGTTTTCTTGGCTGATGGCTGTGCATCCAATCTGATATCCCTCTGTGTGTTTTCTGCAGTTTGACCTGCGCTGGAATGTCTGTAGTGTAATGTGTGAGCCATATGACAGTTATTTATCAAACGGCAGTACGCTCACCCACTATCTGGGCTTTGAATCAGACCGCAGTACGAACAACAGAGAGCATAAAATTCAGCTAATGCTAACCCAGAGTTTCCTTCTTAAAATAAAACAGTAGCTTTGGGACGCACCACAAGTAAACTTTGGTTTTTTCCTGTCGGTCGGTCCACCACTTGGGTACAAACTAAAATATCTCAACAACTATTGGACAGATTGCCAGTGAATTTTGCACATACTCATGAACCCCAGAGAATAAAACCTACTGACTGTGGTGATCACCTGATTTTTCCATTAATGCCACGATGAGGCTAAGATTTGTGGTTCGGCCTGACATATCTCAACAAATGCTGGATGGATTGCTATGAAATTTGGAACTGACTTTCATGTCCCTCTCAGGATCAATTATAATAACTTTGGTGACCCCTTAAACACCCCCTTTGTGCAGCCTTCAGAACCACTGGATGTCGCTAGAGCAACAGCATCTAAGACAACCAGAAAGGTTGTTTACACAAGAGTCAAGAAAAAAATTAAAATAAAATCCAGCCACAATGCATGCATTGTAAAATATACTGAATAGCCTTAACGAGTTGTTGTCAACTCGCTTCCATTAATACACCAGGTCTGATCATGGGTCCATGTGTGGAAAAAGATACACAAAGATCAGCAGAGTAGGTACAAACAGAGAAAAACTGGCAGAGTAGAGCTTCACCCAACAGCAGAGACTCTCATATTGAGCTGAAATCATATATGTACACGCAAGCTTATAAATGTAGTTTTTAAATTCTTTGGATTTTTATGGCATTGGCCAAACACTGTGCTGTGGTGGCGAAGGTCACTCTCGATTTCTAAATACAGGAAGGCCTACAATTTCAAACGGAGGGGCTCACATGCACTACTTAGACTTTTTATGAGGCTTTGACTAGTGCAGGAAGGAAGCCCTGCTTGTTGTTTTATTTTATATTTTGGTAGATTATCCATTTTGATGACAGCGCTCGTCTCTGAATGCAAATGTTGCACCAAAGCAATTCCACTCATCAATATTTTAAAGGATAACCAAAGTCACAAACTTCATTTAGCTTGCCCAAGATGACTGTGATTGGTTTAAGGAAACTCTTCCCCAATAGCAGGCTAAGCAAGACTACAAATACACGTGTACCTGGCCAACTGCCAAAACTTAGACAGCGCTTTACAGACAATGGCAATGTGGTATTGACCTCTTTTAATGTATCCATTGTGCAAACTCACAGAGACATTAGCGTGACCATGGACCCTTTGTGTTGTTTTAAAGATCATTTAAACCCAAGCTGTTATGAAAAGCCATTTTTAATAGACATAGAAAATCTTAAGTGACAAAACTAACTAGACAAATATCTTCTTTTTATGAAAAAGTACAGTATAAATGGTTAAAATAAATATTATTTGATTTGTTTAGGTTGACTGCTGACAGAAAAGCAGACTAATGCACAAGCTGAAAAGAGCATAGAGATAAAAACAGCATTTCACAACACAGTGGCATTAGACCAATAATAAATGCAGCTGTTTACACGTTTATACTTTCTGGCTTATTTTCTCTCCAGTATGATGATTAAAAATTGTTCTGTACAAAGTGCATTAGTTACACTGCATCTTGCTGAAAAGGTCACTGAAATGTCCATGGCTTAGATTTTAACGTTGAAATAACTGCTCCACATTTCAACACATTTCTTATTTTTTTTGGGAAAACAGCACTCATGCAGTAATGCGATAAAGCGATGTATCTGTGTGGTGAGAACATGTGTTTGATCAGTATACAAATGGTTTAAACGAATATATTTCTACATATTGAAATGATGGCACTTGTATATGCCGTTTTATCTTCTTTTACATATATATATACAGATTAGTTTTAGGTATAAAACAAGCTGAAGTGAGTCATTAAAGTGACCCTACTGGCAGCATCTGACAGCCAGACATAAAAAGTTATTCAGCTCTCCTGAATGTCTCATCATTTTTTTGACCATCTCACATGTGGTCATGGCCATTTGGAAGGAGAGTGAAAGACAGCTGCCAGGAAACAATGTCCATCACCGATTTCAGCTGTGTAACAGGTTTGATTTGTGAACAATGTCTCTAATAAACACAGATCCAGCTGCAGAGCGTAGATCCAAACACCAGAAGCACCAGCTGTGCCAGCCTCACTGTCCCACTGGCTGCTGACTGTACTTGTCTGCTATTAAAACCTGAGCGGGACGGCTGTGTGTCACCTCCACTGCAAAGCACCATGGGAGCCTGAAAGGAAGTGGGCCGCTTCAGCGGTCGGTCAGGACTGGATCCATCAGTTGGCCTCTCGCCGACAAACAGCAGTGGGTGTTTCCGGTGATCCAACTCTGTCTTGAAGAGTTCATACTCCTTATGTGGCAGCTTGATGCCTAAGACGGTGCACCCATCAGTGGGGGTCAAGTCCTGCTCCACTCCGACCTCCCAGCCTCCTGCTCGGCCACACTTTCCTCGCCTTGTGCTGTTCAGCAACTTGGCTGTGGGCTCGTCCATTGCTGTGACCCTCACCTGGGTTACCTTGAAGACAAACTCAGAGGCACCAGACAGTTTGACGGATGGGTTTCCCTGAGCGTAGTGGCCCGAGGCCCTCAGGGAGAAAGTGGGCTGAGAGCACGCAGGGTCAGAGTAGTGCCGGTAGATCCCCTCCCAAGCATGTTGATCAGGAGCAAAGGTGAAGTCTCGGGTGAGGAAGAGGACAGTGGGACGGGTTTCGCAGCGCTGGCTGACCCAGCGGCCGGCCAGGGACAGATGAGCTGTGGGACTGCGAGGCAACACTGGGGGGCGCTGTTCTGAGGAGCGGTACACCAGCGCACACACAGGGCAGGGATGGATGTGATGCTGAATAAAGAGAGAGAAAGGTGAGATGTTTTAGGGTTGCCACTAATGATTGATGTCTCTCTGTATTCTTCTGCTTTTTTGGCTGATTACTTAGTCATCTAACAGTTGCTGATAATTGTGGAAAGTGGTTTAGCTTCTCCTCTGGCTGCTGTGATGTACAGATGCACCCCAGGACAGAGTGGGTCTAGTGACAGGTGCAAAAAAAAGCTTTAACCAATGAGGTGAGTGAAGTCAAGCAGTAGCCTCTGAAGCCAACACAGGAGTGCTAAAAACTGCATTTCCTTAAATGGCCACTTGAGACTAGGTCCAAAAGCAAATGAAATCCCATAAACCTCCATGTCAAAATATCCAGTCTTACAGCACAAATAAACTGGTTTGCAGGCTGGTACAACCAAACGGTTTCGGTCTCTAAAGCTAGCTTTCCTTGTTCATGACAACTGAATGAGAGGTAAGAAATGATTAAGGCTTAACATTATGCATAATTAATGGAATGACCACTTTGAGTGACAAACGGATGCAGTCATAGAACAATCCATGGTCCAGAAATGTTTGCTTAGAACTTATGCTCCACCTCTTTGCTCATTGTTGGATTAATCTTGCATAGCCAGACTTATCTCCACTGTGCTGTGTCAATGCTGGAGAATGACCTGAGTACACCGGATGCAGTAAGGGTGCCCCAGCAAGACAGTGACACGGGAATTGTTTTGGTGCAACATTTCATGCAGTGAGGTTAACACATTATCATAATGGATGATTCACAGAAGAAGAAAAAAAAGAAGCAGTGTAGTCTTTTTGCATGATCCAAATCTTTCACAAAAATCTTTCACAAAACCATTTTCAGCGTGTAGGTTGCTGCTGGAAGTGGAAGTGTGGAAGGAAATGTGCAGCAGAAACGGCAGTCTTATAATTTTGCATCCAGTGAGTTAGACTATATTTGGATTAACTGAGAGTCAGGCAGAGTCAGGTCCTTCTGAGATGGAGATCAGCAGGAGTCTCCACTCTGAGCTTCAAAACCGCTGTTCAGGAACCCTAAGAGTGATGTCATTGAGGGTTTGTTTATCCTTATATACATTATATGTATGATCTAATAACACAAATGTTGCTGATTAATTTCTGTTGATTGACTTAAAGCCTGGGCTGCAAGGTGGTGCAGTTGGTAGCACTGTTGCCTCGCAGCAAGAAGGTTGCCGGTTTGCGTCCCGGTGGGGGCACCGGAATCTTTCTGCGTGGAGTTTGTATGTTCTCCCCGTGCAGTGTGGGTTCTCTCCGGGTTCTCCGACTTCCTCCCACACAGTCCAAAAACATGTTGAGGTTAATTGGTGATTCTAAATTGTCCGTAGGTGTGAATGTGAGTGTGCTTGGTTGTCTGTCTCTAAGTGTAGCCCTGTGATAGACTGGTGACCTGTCCAGGGTGTCCCCTGCCTTCGCCCTAAGTCGGCTGGGATGGGCTCCAGCCCCCCCGCGACCCTAATGAGGATTAAGCGGTGTATAGAAAATGGATGGATGGACTTAAAGCCTAATTGACTTACACTTCTGTTACAGAGAACTTTGCTTCAACAGTAAATCAGGCAGCTTTTTCAATATAAATCTGGAGTCTATCCCAGCTGACTCAGGGTGAATGCAGGGGACACCCTGGACAGGTCACCAGTCTATCACAGGGCCACACTTAGAGACAGACAACCAAGCACACTCACATTCACACCTACGGACAATTTAGAATCACCAATTAACCTCAACATGTTTTTGGACTGTGTGGGAGGAAGCTGGAGAACCTGGAGAGAACCCACGCTGCATGGGGAGAACATGCAAACTCCACGCAGAAAGATCCCGGTGCCCGTACCGGGACGTGAACTGGCAACCTTCTTGCTGTGAGGCACAGTGCTACCAACTGCGTCACCTTGCAGCCCGTTATCTAAATATATTTAAAACAATTTTTTTGTTGTTTTTTTTTTTGTGTGTGTGTTACCTGGCTGCATATTATTTTTCAGTTCAAAGTTCAATATAGCATCTACACAGAAATGAAAACTATTATAACTGACCAAAAATGGTTGTTCAAGGTAGTGCTCATATGTATGTGATCATACATAATGCATTACTGTGTCTTGTGCCTCATTGAATCCCAATAAGCAGAGGTAAAATGCAAAAATGGGAGGAAAACGTGAACATTTTCTACTCAACAGTTATAGCGCCCTTGAGTAAGGCACTCAGCCTCTTAGCTCTTACCATTTAAATACTCAGCGACCAATAATACAAACCCTAATAGATCATTTGGGCTTCTTTTCTGTACAACTTGTTCTGGCACATGAAGATACACTGTGTTGTCTCACCATAGCGTTCTGCAGTGGCTGCTGGTACCCAGTAGGTCTGTACTGGGTTCTTTGGGTCCAGTCTGTGTGGATGTCCCCTAAGAACAACTCCTGGACCTTCCCTCCATGGTTGTGGTGCTGCGTCTCCACTCTCACCAGACCCATTTCCATCATAGAGAAACCCAGTGCTGCCAGACATCCCCTCCCTGCCCGGGTGTTGTACAGCTCATACAGCTTGCCCGGCGCTGCTCGACCCAGGCGCAGACCCACGCAGGTCGGAGGAAGCCTGGAGGCCAGCCTCTGCTTGGCTGCCTGGCTGTGAACCACGATGCCCACCTTGCTGAGGTGGTGCTCTGCTTCAGTGCCCCCGCGGGTGATCCAGGAGGCCTGGCGCAGACGAATTTTCCCCCTGATGATCAGGGAGTAGGCTGGGTCCTCACAGCTGCTGTCAGTATAGTAGTGCTGCAGCGCCTGGAAGTGACGGCTGGGATGGAAGGTATAGAAGCGGGTGAGGAACTCGGGACCGGGTCGGACTTCACATCTGAACATAGAGAGAGAAAATGGAAGAGTTGTGATAAGTATAGACTTCTGTTGAAAGGGGTTTTAAGTGTTTTGTCTCAAATACATTTGGTCTTAAGTCTTACAGTCGTCCTCAAATGTATTTTACCCTCAGAAGGAAAAAAACAGCTGTCACTGAAATAAGTTGAAATTGACAAAAGTAATAAGAAATAAAAATGTAATGAACATCATGACTTTGCTTTTGAATTGTGGTTCACACAAGCAAACAAGCATGATTGAACCCGTGAACTAATATTTTGTTGAACCACCCTTTGAGGCGATCACTGCAGTCAAGTGTTTTCTGTAACTCTCAATCACACTTCTGCACCTGCAAAGTGCTCTAATTTGTACGGGACAGTTATGTTTTTTTAAATTGTTCTTTTCAACCACAATTCAAAAGCAATGTCTTACTTCACTAAATTATATTTTAGTAACTTTTTATTTGTTATTACTTCTTTCAGTTTCTAGTTATTTGAGTGACTATTGTGAATTTTGCCTTTTCTTTAATGGAAGGGTATGAATATTTTGAGGACGACTGTACATCTGTCAGAGCTAGTCTAAACTCAATCAGTCATCAGTCAGTCTCATGTCCTTGCGGGCAAGTCCAAGTTAAATTACAAGTCTTCATAGGCAAAATTAGTATCAGGTCTTTGAAGGTTTTTCTTTAAGTGTTTTTACGTTTGTTTTTTTTGTTTTTTGTTTTTTTATCATATCAGTGTTATCAATCTAATAATTGACCTCCATTAGCAACTGGTAATAGAAACGAGCTGTAAACATTAATGTACTGTCACCTTAAAAAGTTGACATGGTGAACTTTCTTATCTACACATCCAGCAGACACCAAGCAACACTGTTCAACACTGACGATATATCTGTCTTTTAACTGCTTAATGTACCACTGAGTTCATCAGCTTGTCACTGACTTTTTCTGTCTGCTGTTTGGTGTTGTGCAGTTGCATAGCGGTGAGACTGAACCAAAATATGATCAATGATCCATTGAGCTGCAGAGTTAAATGAGCATACTGTGTGAATTCATCATTACGAATACAGTAAACATTGATTGTAGTAGCTGTGAAAACTAAAGACGGATTCCTGTCCAAGATAAGGTTTTTCAAAATAATTTGATAATTTCTTGGGAATTTCACCAGGTCTTGAAAACCTGACTTCAGCTCCTTTTCAGGTCTACTAAGTCTCACAACAAAAAAGTTTAAGTCAGGTGTCTTGTCCTTATTTCAGATCATTCAAGACTCAAGTTTAAGGCTCTGCAGGTAACTACCTACATTCAAATTCTAAAGAATGCTGAATATTGATTTATACAAACCCCATCAATGTACAAAGGATGTAACTATTAGAGTAATCATGCATGGCACATGACAACATCACAAACATATATTATACAGAAAAAATACAGAATATACAGAAGCCTGATAAAGCCTCCTTGATATATATTCTACAAGTTTTTTTAAACTCAACTAGAAAGTTGATCATCATTCTACCAAAGGAAATTTCTTCTTTTCTTATTTTGATGGAGAGTGCAGTCTAACTGTAATGTCACTGCGTAGCTACAACATGCTCTGAAAATGTACCTTGTTGACACCCAAGTGCCATCTAGTCTTGGTGGGATGTCTGCTGTGACTCTCACACTGTCCTGCAGGTGTTGATGCTGGCAGCGTGGCTCCCACTGCAGGCTCTCGCTGAGGTTGGAGGTGAAGGGACCTGTGGGCACCTCCCATAATTTGCTCCCCGTTCCAACCACAGACACAGCTGCACAAGAAAGCACAGTCAGAAAACAGTGTGTAAAGCACCACTGTTATGCAATCAGACCAACACAGAGGCTCCATTACATGTCATAGAGACTTCCAGGCTGATTTTGGGCGTATGTAGGAGATGAGAGATGATCTCAGAAAATGAAGAGAATATCTACATCTTCTTCCAGTTATATCTAAAAATGATTCTAATTGACTACAAGCTGCATTAAAGCTGTAATTCTGTTAAATTTGCCATGTAATGAGCGACGAGTGGGCGCTATAGAAACCATACATAGCTGTTAATCAGGACGTTGGCCTCGATGCACACGGTTTTGGCTTGTCACTGCAATCAGCCTGCAGCTGCAACACACAGACCTCGTTTTTTGGGTTTGCTCAGAGGCAGGCGATGTGTGTGGAGGTGATTGTACATGAGTGTATGCACTTCATATACATGCATTTCTATGAGTGAGTTAAAGCAAACTGTGGGTCACTGACAGCAGCAGAGCGACTCGAACACATCTGTTGATAATATGACACATAAAAAAAAACACTTATGATGATGAATGTTCTTAGCTTGAGTTTTCCCAAACACTGACAGTTAATCCAAATGAAAGCATTATTCACTCTATAACATTTATTGATCTGACATTTGCACATCTGCAGTCTGTCTGTCATTAATCATAACTGCGTTTTCTGCTCAATCCGCTCTTTGTTGAGCGGAGAAGTGTGTGTTGTCGACACAACGAGGCTGAACTCTGCGGTCTGGTTTCAGCTGAGACAAAGAAGGCGAGATGATTTTCTGATTGCACCCTCATGGCTGCAATGTGAGGAACCCCACTGGGGTCTGTCTGGGCAGCGTGCGCATTTTCGTGTGTGTAAAAAATTTTGGCTTCAGTTTCTACCTTCCCCCCCAAACAACAAATGTCAAAAAGCAGAGGGGGATGAGTTCTCACAGGCCGCCACATCTCCTGTTCTTGTTTTGCACTCATCGACTCGCTTTTACCTAAGTCCCTGTAGGAAATTGTCATTATAATCTGAAGTTTTGTATTGTTCAAACTAATTCTATCTAATCTGTTAAAGAATGAGCTTTAAATACATTGGTTAGCAGCTTTTGCAAACTTTGAACACAACTGGGGATAAGTCTCATCTGAATATCTGTAAGCATATTTTCAAAAATGTCAAACATTTGCTTTCAGCATATTCAGCTTGTTTTTTCCTTTATTTCCTGTTACCATCTCTGTTATTCCCCTTTCCTGCCTTTTATCCCCACAGCTCTCACGTTCTTTCTCTCACTTTCTCAACTTTCCCCGGGCCATCTGTGGTAAACAGCTTTATGGGTGTAACCTCACTCCACTTTTCTCTATTTGACTTTAGAAGCACATGGGGAGAACATCACCTGTTGAGCCTACAGTTGCACTGGGAGCTAGTTGTGGAAATGTCAACTGTTAAGACTCACGGATCAGGTTGTTCTCTCGTGGCTGAGCAGAAATGCTGGAGGAAAGTGGGGGCATTTGAGTGGAAAGCTGCGATGTTGATTTTTCTGCAAAAGGCTCCAAGATGGGAGGGCGACTGACCGGCATTTATTAACCTTGTTAGTGTCAGATGGAGGATATTTTTTGTTCCCTTCAGTCTTGGAATGCTTCCCACATGCTGACCACAACCGCAGACATGTGTGCAGCTCATTCATTTCCCAGGGTCCTTCCACCTGACGCACACAAACACACACGTGTGCACATCTTGGGTTGTTTGAACTCTACTGTCATGGACCACAAAGCCAGGTTTCAAAGCAAATTACTCCTCCTTCCGTCAGTTTGTTGAAAAAATTAATCCTTTTTTTTTTTTCTTTTTTGCTGTTGCAGGCATTGAAATGTGTTTGCAATTTCCCTTCTTGCAATGATGTGTTTGTTTATGCTCCATGTCACTGCAGCTGGCCAGGGAACCCGGTCAGTTGGACCCAGCTGGGCTCTCTTGGGAGAACTCGTAGCAGAAATACTAATCAGGATTAATTAATTTCCACTGCTTCTTGCAAGTCATCCAATCGGTCTGTTATGTGTTACCCAGCCTTTGTAGCTGCATGCAACATGTTGCCTGAGTGGTTACTCACACACACACACTCACAACACAATGAATGGACTCAGAGGCGAGAGTCACAGTACAGTATGTGATGTGATGTGGATTCCTTTGGGTTGCCATATTTTAGTTTCTGTTTTTGCCAGAGCATTTCTATAGAGTGTTTCTTGAGGTCACTTGTCATTCAGCTGCTTTCCCTCTCTTGGATCTCTTTCCAGTTGGGCATATGGTTGCATTTACTAAAAGAGTGCTCATAAAAGCAAAGCTTAGTAAAACAAAATTGCTCATCGTGGGTTTTTTAAGTATTCTTCTACAAAAGAGCTATTCCAACCACAAGTGAGGTGATGTTGTAATACATATGATAATATCCAACCCCCGTCTCAATTTGGAGGAGATGGGGGACTATTTTACTTGATTCACTTCCTACACGGGCAGTCAGATATCATTAGTCTTACCCTGCAATGGTTCCTGCTGATTTATTTTTCCACAATGAGCCCTAAAATCTCCCAATGCTGCAGTGCGCACCTCGCCGTCACAATGTAGTGCTCAGTGCATCTTTCAAAAGCAGATTTCATGTATTTCTACCAGTAAAACTGGCTGTGAAACTAAGAGCTAGAAGTTGCACTTAAGTTTTATGATGAGTTAGAAGTATACGTACAATTCAGGTAAAAAAAAAAATCTTACAGATTACATCAGATAAGACTGACACACGCAGATGATAATGTAGTATTGCATCACTGTTACTTTCAGCTGTATAAGCATGCTCTGCAAGAATTGCAGTAATTTCTTGCTTGTGTCAAGATTAAGACTGATGAATGTTTTATTTTGTTTTTCATTTTAAATGATTAACTGAAGTAACTTGAGAGCTTCTAATAAGAAGTTTGTGTTTACCAAAACAACAAATGGCTGGAATATTTTGAAATCACCTGTCAAATACTAGTTAACTTTGCCTTAATGTCCCTTGTCAGTCATTAATTGAACAGTAAAAATTTCATCTCTGTGTATCAAAGTTGCATATTTAGAAATTGTTTTTCCACAAACAGAATGCCTTCCTTCCTTAAAATGGCTTACATTTAACTCTACACTGTTCTCTCCTTCAATCAGTTTATTCTCCACCTCTTTCTCTATCCATCCACTCCCACTCATTGCAGCTCGAGCACACCAGCTCAACTACAACTCTGCTCAAACACATGAAGGCCAATTCATGCTGTCTGCATCTGTACGAGTCTGCAGGAATCTGCATGACAGAAATTTCGTCATTTGCCCATGTCTGTGGGTTCGTGCCGACGCCTCTGTGGACGTCCAAAATGTGTGACCGTGCAGACTGTACGCACTTCAAATGTGCCGACTGCATGCGTGCCAAGAAAAAAAATGGTGCTCAGAGCAAATGCTTGTTATGAGGAGAGGCTGTGTGAAGGGGTTTGCTATTATCCACACCTTTATAATTTAGAAATAAAAGAGTTGTAATTGAAGTAGTTACTGCCAAACTCTGGAGGTGCTTTGATTTGTAAATGCTTTCCATAGATGGTGTCCAAACTCAGTGGGGAGCAGTGAATTCTCCAGAACTCCTGTGCTGTGTCCACCAACTGTGCTTTTAAAAACTTCAGGAATAAACACATTGGCCAATTCTGAAGAAGAATAATGATACAGAAAGCTCCCCCCTGAAAGTTGACAGGATCCGTTTCTTAGGTTTGTTGCATATATACCCCCCAGAAGCCCACATCTGTGTTTCTGAGATTGTCATCAGTGCACTCCACAGTTAGAAATGCAACATTTCTTGCTGATGCACATTCTTTGAACATCAGTGTCGCTCATTAGAGAACAGTGATACAGTGACATTTGTGAAGGTTTTTTTTTTCTGTGAAACTCACAGCAGCTATGGGTTTCATGCAGCCTCATAACTGATTGATGAAACAATTGTTTATAACAAACACTTTGTTAAAAAACAGCCGTGACAACTATTTAGTCACTGCATATAAGAACACCAAGTGGACCAATGTAGCAAGAAAGAAAAAAAGGAAAGCGAAAACTAAAGCTTACAGCATGCTACATTCAGCTGTACATAGATTTGTATTACGTGACACATAATCAGGACCTCTTGCTTGAGAAATTTTATCTATGAACATAGAATTGTTCAAAAATAAGCAACTTATTAAAATTGTTAAATTTACTGAATTTAACCATTTAGAATTTTTAGAAAACAATGCTGAAATTGTTTTATATATAGACCTAATATTAGTTTGATAATGTTGTTTTTTTTTAAAAGCAAAACTTTAAAAATCTTTTTAAAATCTGAGCATTTCTTACATTTTATTGTCTTACATTACAGCAAATTCATTAACTTTTTCTGTTGAAGAAAACCCATCACCTTGATAAGAAATTAACTTCATACGGGTCAAAAGTCAGTGCCCAGAAATACATCACAAACAAGAATAGGGCCAACTGTTAGGACAACTAGAATGAGACACAACCAATGTGTTTACATGTGTAAAGGGAAGGTTAAAACTGCGGCTGATGCTCATTCAGTCATAAGAACCAGAGCTATTGATGTGCTGACTGGCAGTGAGACAGACAAGGTGACAGTGAAAGCAACTTTGCCTCTCTATCCTCTCTCTCCTCGGTTGCAGTCAGCCCATTTCATTGTCAAGACTGAACAACACACACTACAGATCCTGAATTACAGTGCAGACAGGACAATGGTCCCCCAGCTGTCCTCATGCAGTACCCCGGCTCTCCCACCAGGGGTCAGTGCAGCAGCCTGCGAGCTGCGTGTGGTCCGGACAGTCAGTCTGTCATCACCACCAACACTGGCTGCCACTGGCCTTCGCTTCATCCGACTGATGACTGGCCAAAGTAATCTACCTGTCTTTGAGTTCCTATATTCATCCAGTTTCCACACACACACAAACACATGCATGCACGCAGGTTCACAAAAACACACTGCACACATTGATGTACAGTACACTGCAGAAGGGACACCATTTATGAAAGACCTCCAGGCTGCCCTCTGTTTGTTTGTTTGCATTTGTGATTACGGTCTGGCAGCCTTCCCCCTCCTCTCTCACGTCTCATCCACACAACCACAGTCAAAATACAGTTTTATGTACTTCTTTATTTGGAGCCATCCTGTAAAAACAAGAACCAGATCCAGGTACTTTTGATTCAGGGCTTGTGGGGAATCAAGTGCTTGACGTTGAAGTCAACCACAAGCTTCGTTCATTAGAGACGCCTTTGTCGGCCTCATAGCTGCTTCTATTGAGATGTTAACAGAGAGTCACTAAAGCTGCCAAAGCGAAGGCGGCTAAAGTGAACGAAAAATATCCATTTTGTCCCAGAGAAAATGTCGGTGCACTGACATGATGGTGAAGCGCGACCAATCCCTTGGTTAACTACTTCCTCATGTGTTTCCTGTGATTTTTTATTTTTTTTATTACATCCTCATCCACTTTTTTTCTTTCAGTGTGGCTACCCTCAGTGTCTTGTAAAGTCACATTCTCATCTTTCTCCGCCTCAGTGCTGCAGCACAAAAACCCTCCAAACTGTCGCTGAAGTGCCCGTGCCCTCCTGGCCCTTCTCCCTCCCTGATTACCTCTCCCCTGATGAAAAAGCCATGATGTTTACGCCTCATTTCTCCTGGATGGATTTCAGATTCCTCCCTTCTTCTTCTTCTTTTTTTAGTTGCTGTCTTTGTTTCTTTTTTCTCTCCCTCTCTTTTCTCTGTGCCTGTCAGTGGTTGATGAGGTGAATGAAGTTGGGCAAGAGGATAAGGGGGTGGAGGTGAGAGGAGGGGTGAAGCGTCTTCTTGCCTCTGGAATGACAAGATTAGTGAGGTGCATGTGTGCGCTTTTCAGAGCAGAAATATTAAATGCTACAGTAGCCCCGACATCCCCTTTTATTCCACATATTTAGGTGACTGCTGCACATTATTCACAGTTCACAGCTGCTTTTTCAGGCTCTCTGAGTTGCTGAGTTGTCCTCCAGATTTTGGATAAGTGTTAGAAGTCGATAATTCACAACTGGTTTTGGCTTGGAACTGCTTACAATGAAGTGTATGTTTGCTACCCATCGTCACAAGTTGCACATGTCTATAAATTGTGCAAAATGAGCAGCAAAGAGAAATTATTTCAAAAGTTAATTCAAAAGTTGTATAGTTAAAAAAAACAAACAAAAAAAAACATTTGCTTTCTTTTGACAGTATTATCCATATTCCCATTTTGAAATATGGCCAACCAACTTTCTAACAGGATGTAGGTAAATACCTCTCGCAGCAAGGAGCAATGCTTTTTTGTTCATTAATGCAGAGGCGTTTTTAAGTACAGCCAGCAGCTCTCTAGTTTAATTTGTAAAACTGCTTTTTACAGTATTACGAGTCTTGGCTTTAACAAAGTTATCCACGAAAGCTGTTTTCTCTTGTGATTGTGGACCAGTTTATAACCGGCTCTCTCAGCCACCAGTGTTAGAAAATTTCTCTTTAAAAAAATGTAAAATTAACAGATCACTTTACACATTACTCAGCACCAAACGCAATCAGTCCTGTTGGCTTTAGTTTTTGAAACTATCTACACCCACTTCAGCAGCCCCAAGACTCGAGAGAGGTGCCAAAAAAAGGCTGACCAGCTGAATGTAGGCAAAACTATTGGAGCCTTTTCCTGTAGCTATGGAACACAGCATATACATAGGACACTTTACAGTTACTGGGAGGCACAGTTTTCCTCTTTCAGTTGGAGCTTATCCTCCAACCACACCTCTTTCCCCTGCACCAGGCTTATACACATCACAGCAGAGTTCATCCCTCCAACAAACTCCTAGTAAAGGCCCCTCAACATGGTGAGGTTTTAAGGCAATAGTCTGCAAGTGTGAGAGAAAAATGGTGAAATCTTTTATCCATAAAAGTGGTGGTTGATTTCACTGGCAAACACATCTTTACATTGTCCAAAACCAGATTTTGTTAATAATACCTGGAACAGATTTTTACGATGTAGCTGCTGCTATGATCAGTGTCTTCAAACCAGTTTGATAACTAGCATGGCTTTTCAGAAGCAGCTTTTTTTGAATAAACTTCAGGAAATAAAACTAAGTAATGCAACAAAAAACTCCCACACTCTTGCCTTTTTAAACATGCTGCAAATATACTTTCTTCTATTTGCATGCTCTGATTCACCACACATTCGCCACTTAATGCCACATGCCTCAAATTGATATGTTACAGTCTGACAATCTAATTTCACTGACATCTGATAAACTTGCACTATCATTGCTGATGTGACACCCAAATTGTTGATTAATCTAAATTCAAGACTGTAATTGTAATCCTCACACTGTGTATTACTGCCTGAGACTGTCAGGGGACTGAGAGGCGAACATGCAAAGCAAACTTGGTTGAGCCCAAGCATTTTTCAAGCTGTAGTACCCGACTTCCCTTTGCCTTCGCTTTACCCTTGTCACCAAAGTCACGCGAAGGTCAGGGTGATTTAGAGGTTTCTCAAAGAACATGAGGTCCGCCATGTTATTCTAACCCTGGGTCCCTTTCTTCCTGATTTGGGCTCTAACCCCAGCAACTCATTGTGGCCCTCCAGACCAGGAGTATCCTTCTGTCCCCGAGGCAGCGCAAGGACGACTACTGTTGTCTTTTCATCACAGTGTAAGCTGCTTAATCCAGCGGCCTCGTTTATTTAGACAGGGGATCGACAGGGGTTTGCCCAGCGGACGCTGCTGCCAGCTCCACTGTGGTTAGCGAACTCTGGCTCCTGTTTACAATGCAACAACATGCACGCACACGCACACACACACACACACACACACACACACACACACACACACACATTGTCCTGCTAAATAAAACAGCTGCCTCTTCTCAGCCACTTCTACTGTTGTTCAAACTTTACTGAGAGCCAGTGGCACATTGGAACGAAACACAGTTTTTTTTTTGAGCCATCAGACTATAGAGAGGATCCTTCATTATAGCAGCACCTGACATTCATTGCGGCGTCTCTTCTTGGTGGACAGCCGAGGCAGCTGAGATGCAGATAGTGGACAAGGGAAGTTGATGGTCCATTGATGTTTTGGAGCTGAGATTATATCGGTTTCACCTTAATTCCAAACCTCGGTTTGTGGACAGTTGTGGAGATCCGGGCGGTGGCTGTTTCACATACTTGGTGAGTTTGAAGTTGGAACAAGAACAAAACTCCATCCAAGGTTTATCTTAAATAAAAATGATCAAGGTTTGGACAAAATATTCTCATCCAGTTCAATTTACTTTAGGTTCTTACTGAAGAAGTTATTTTATCCAAGAAGCCGCTGTACACTAAAATGCCAAATATTTGGTCACTTTAATCTTTTTGAGACACTTGAAGAAGCGGGGAGGAACTCAGAAGTGTGGCTTAATCAGAAAATATTTTTTTGAATCATTCAATGAAAAATATAAAGTCTTCCCTGCACAGAAATAACACTACGCCTGTCAAAATTTGTGTGACTACTTGTTTTCTGGTCCAAATGATTCCACTTTTGATTCCAGTGGCCTCTTAAATTAGTCTCAAATCAGTTTTCTGCACTGTTTGAACTGTCTGTTTGGAGCCAGTGACTCAACCTCGCCTGTCTCCTCTGCTAAACTTGAGTGGTGAAGAAGAAAAAAGTTCACAGATGCCAGTCTAGCACTAAAGCAGTGAGGGTTGGAGGAAGGGGAGGGGAAGGCTGGCACCGAGCGGCTGGATGATGATGATTAGAACCGGACAGATGCCTCCTCCTGTCTGTCTCCCGCCGCCCATCACCCTAACCAGCCCTGATGGCCAAAATGCTGCGCTTCCATGATGGAGGCCGCGGCGGCTGGACGGTCAGCAGCTCGAGGTCGGGTCAGTAATGGCTGTCTCCTGTTATTCTAACCATTAACATAATGGCAACATTAGTTCCAGGGCCACGCTTCCCTGCTCCTAGGGAACCATTGTTTAAAGGCACCAGCCAGAGCCCCCCCACCCCTTTTTTTTAAGCCTCCTCCAGTGACCACAGATCCGACTGACTCTTTGAAGACACACAGGAGGAGAGGGGGAACACAGACTGGCTATTCATAAGTCTAATGTCAGCTTAGGTTGTGTTTTTATTTTTCAAAGTGGTGATCCACATGTTGAACTTTGCGAATCATTTGAATTGTGACAAATCACATAATGACTTCCTTGTAATTATGAGTTTCTCAGCTATAATCCCTTCCTTTTTGTCTCTGTGTCCTGCTATGTGTTCTCTAAGCTAAATCCCCAAGTGTTCAGCTGATTTCTCACATGAGAGAGCATTTATCTGATGGTTTTCATAGTGAAGAAAAACTTTAGATGACAGCTGAAAATCTTGTACAATCTTTTAAGATGACATTTAAATAGCAAGATTTATACTCGTTTAAATTATTCTCAGTCTACGGAAGTCACTTAAAATGGGAAATGTCAGTTTACAGCATGTTTGAGACCATGTGTTTAAGCTTCACATAAACTAATCTTTTAAAACAACAAGACTGCAAGACAAATGCATTAAATGAGGTTAAACTCTACATTAATCCACAAGACAGAAGTCAGACTCACCTTGCCAGAGCCACAGCAGCCAGACTCCCCTTAACAGGTGACTGAAATGTCTGTTTGACATGTTTCCTGCTTCAGCAAACTTCATTCACAAACTCTGTTCAGAAGACAAACTTTGATCCGTGGAAAATCCAAAACAGAGAGAGGCTCCTGTCAACAAGAGATGACCATGTAGGATGCCACCATGACAAGAAGTCATACATGAAGAGTCCAATAAAACCCGCAGATGAAACTCTGGTCTCCTGTTCAGTCAGCAGGGAGTTTCTTCCTCTCTTCTTCTTCTTCTTCTTCTTCTTCTTCTTCTACCTCCACTTCTTGGTTTCCATGGTCCGACAAGAAAGTCCTCAGTCGAGACCACTCGTTCATGCAACTTCTCCACACTGGTGCTTTACTTAAGCTGACGGGAGGGAGAGTAAATGCTCTCTCTCTCGCTCTCTCTCTCTCTCTCTCTCTCTCTCTCTCTCTCAACTCCCCCCTCCCTCAATCACACACCGTTGCCTCACTACTGTGCAGCTCTGTGGATCTGTTCCACTCGATGCATGTGCAGCGAGGGTGTGTGTGCATACGAGCGGCAGGATTTTGTGTGTGTGCACTCCTGCTCTTATAGTTTGGAGCAGAGTGAGGGAGAGATGGAGGGAGGGCAGAGATAGAGAACGTTTCAGCGAGTGTGTGTGTGTGTGTGTGTGTGTGTGGAGGAGGGGGTTTAAGCTTCAGACTTTGTCAAGTGAAGCTTTTAGAGCAAGGTGCAAAAGGCCAGTGGTGAAAAGGAGTTAACACTGCAGCCCCAATGCTGCACCACATCCCAATGCGACAACTGTTGTGTATAACTTAAGGTACTGACTCCTTCTATACGGCCGTGTGCTTGCTGTCTATTGGCACAAGTTGCATATGTTTAAGAAATGTGCAAAATGAGTACGAATTGAAAGTGAAAAGTTAGTTTAAACGCTGTGTATATGTTTTGGATTTTTTATTTTTTTTTACAGTATTATCCATAATCCCTCAAATATGGCATAAAATAATAAAAACTGTCTCTCAGGGTAAGGTCTATACCTTACTTTGTTAAGTGCTGTGTGATAACATGTGTTGTAAACTGCGCTATACAAATAAAATTGAAATTGAAATTGAAGGAGAACATGTGTTATTTGTTTGTCATTCATTGATGCAATAGCTTTTTTTTTTTTTTTTTTTTAAATATTTTAACAGAAACTGCACCTTTCAAAAACAAATTGCTTTACAATAAAAGCAATCATCAAATTAGTTTTTTTAATAAAAACTACTTTAAAAAATGCCACCAGTTCAGGTAAAGCCGTACGTTAAAAGTGAGTTATGCAAAGTGATGTAAAAGAGGTCGCTAAGTTTGCCTGCCTGAGATCTCCAGGCCTGAAGTTTTACAATTAAACAAAGGCCTGCTGTCCTTTAGTGATTACTGAGAGTCTGCTGGAGGACTTCAGGTTCATAGAGAGTCTGCAGATCACAGATTTAGCCAGGAACCAGACCATTCAAAGCTTTAAAAACAAGCACTAAGATCTTAAAATCAATTCCAAAACTCCCAAGTAACCGGTGAAGGCCAGCAAGGATTGGTGTAATGTGGTCGCTTCTTTTAAAAGTGTATTAAAACCCTTGCAGCAGCATTTTGTACCAATGACTGTCTTTGTATGTTGAACATATTTTGTATGTAGCTCTTTATACTCGCTGAGCTCTGTGATTGGCTGAAATCTCATGTTGTGGACTACATTTTGTTAAGCCTGAAAATGGAGCCAAGAGAAGGTGCAAAAGTCTAGTTTGCTAAAAGGTTAAAATAGATTTTTTTTCCAGTGATGCCAAAAAAGTACTGCCTGCCCCTGCTTTAAATGTAGAAGTACAGAGAGAATGTTTGTCATTTTTCTTTCCGTCCAGTAACTTCTGCTACACTGTCTTCACACATTATACACTACTCTTTTTTTATTTTTTAAATTTCCCCTCTGAACAGCTTTAAGGTAGGAAAAAACAACATTTTATTCTACACAGTCTGATGTCATATGCTACACTTTATGGACACCTTTTCCAAAATTTAGCCTGAAATTTTTGGTGAATAATGTAAAATAAAGTTCTGTTGGCGTGAACAAAGTTTTTATGTGCAGCATGAGTTTGTAAAAAGCAACAGAAACAAATGTAAATGGCTGGATGTCCCTCTGGAAGATCCGCAGACCTCACTGTCAACAGTTTTCTTTGGAATTCGGTTCCTCCAAAGAAATAGTCCCAGTGAAAACCGTCCACAGTGAGGTTTGTGGTGTATTGAAAGTAATAGGAACACTGTTTCTGGGAAGACATGCTGCTCTTGAAGTTTTCAGCATCATTTTTTAAAAAATGTTGCGAGCACCACAAAAAAGAAAAACACTGACACAAATATCCCATTAAATCAAAACTACCTGCATGTCCAGAAACCACTATGCATGAGAGGAAAATTACTATTTTTTTATTTTGGTTTGGGTGAATCAACAACTATAAACTGAGAGAAACGTAACATCGAGAAACAGCTGCACACACACACACAGTTTGCACAAACCCGTATCACACATCATTAGAAAGGCCACATGCACACACAGACGCTCCAGTCACACTGATTCATAAGCTCTGTGTATACATGTGGTCTGATGGAGCTGTTGACACTGTTGACCGCTGCGGAGGTAAAGAAGGGTTTCAAAGTGCCTGCCAAGCGAGAGTTGGCAGCACATCTACGACGGGTGGGCTGACCGGAGCCCTGGCATGCAGTCAGACCTGCATATGCTCCTGACACCATTACGCACACAGCCAATGGCCAGTGCAGTTGGACTGAGTGATTTTACCACCGCTGCAGTGTTTTATGTGGCAGATTCCTAATGCATCCTCTTGCTTATATTAACTTTTTCTGTGCCAATTGTCAGTCCGCCTAAACATTTTCTTCCTTAGCAGTGGTCTTCAAAGCACCAGCAGAGTTTCTCACAGTCTTCACCCCACGTTCTCAAGGTCACAAAATGGGTGTTTGTCGGTTTGTTTGTT